AAAATGGCCCTTATCAACCTTGATTTACATATTCCATCACATTATTTTGACAGTTAAAGTTTTGGGCGGGTTTTTGTGAGCTTCTGGGCTGGAAATCGTCCATCCAATCTGGCAACACTGTAAACGGCTCAGTTTATGAATAGGCTATCATTGGATTCGTTCAAAACGCGGATTCATTCAGAAACTAAACACTGCTGTGTTGCTCGGAGACGCACAACAGTTCTGCTGTGGCTTTAAAGGTAATATTTTCTCTGCAAAATTGAGCAAAACAGAAAATATTTTGTTTAAAATATAACACAATTAACTACTTATTTACTGAACTGTTGTATAAAATCACATTTAAACTCGTGATATTCGGGACAAACAGCACTCGTGTGATATTGTTCTCGCTGCTCATGTGATATCGCTTATAATATAAATGAGACAAAAACTCATACAGGGGCTTTTTTTGGCCCCAGTATCATGAATTTTAGGGCATAACTGCATTTATGGAGTTTTTGCCCTGCATTATATTTGTCAACAATCAACTGTATGAAATGTAAGATGGGGCGGGGCCTGTGCATTAATTTTAATTGTGTTATTTTTAACTAATTAAGTTAGTGTTAAACAGACAGCCCTAATATATATATATATACATATACACACATACACACAAGGTTTTGTTCAAATATCTCATTCACAGAGACACCAACTGCCATAAAATCCTCTAGTGTGTTTGTGGGTATATGAAAGAGCAAACTCAGTCTAAATACCGTGTGTACAGTGGGATTCAATCTATTATACAGTTAATACCAGTTTAAGTCTAAAATAATGTTGTACCCCGCCTCTGCCATTAAAAAACACAATGTGCTGAATAGGAAAGACACTTCAGGAAATAAAAGAGGTCTACTGTAACATGCTGAAGTAAAGAGTTACCTTGTTGACAAAATAGAAAACAGCATAGACTAGGACATAAAAGGCAGATCCTCCAGACACGAGAAACGTCCTCCACCACCACCGATAGTCCTGTAGGGGGAGGAGCCACAATGATTGACAGGTGTTCATTCAGTATCTACTGACGCTGTGAGCTCTGTTCAAGTTCTACCAGACTGAGTGCACACCGTCGCCATTTTAGAGATAGTTTAACATGCTCACTGTTCATTCAAATGAAGTGACCTTTACTTTTGTTATCTTAACTCTTAATATTTGCCTGTTTATCTTCTGTCAGAGTGAGTGTATTTGTGTAGACAGTGTGACAAAGATTATAGAGGTCAAAAGGTAAAACAGGAACACTAAATAAATTAAACAAAGCAGCATTTTAGCACACAAGAGAGTCTAAATATTGTCCAGAAAAGTTTAAGAGTGGATTTATGGTAATTACATCTGAATTGCATTATGCCCATGGTGTTGTGTTTAATGTATAGCTGTGCATGTAACAACTGGCAAATGTTTACTGCTGCAAATACTAAATGCCTCTTCCCTTCAGCTCTGTGACTGTATACCCACCTCTGCACAAAGCTGAAAGTACACCATCACAATGCTGATTTGAGAGCAGGAAACCACAAGAATGATGAAGACAAGGAAGAGGAAGCCAAACAGGTAATAAAACTGGTTTTCCCAGATAGCCTATAAAAGAGTATAACACACCTTAATGAGCTTCAATATATAAGTACATTTACAAGATGTACGCACGATATACTAAAAAAATGGTTCGACTTACACTAAAGATGAAGAAGAGCTCGATAAACATGGCACCAAACGGCAGGATTCCTGCCATCAGGATACTAAAGGGAGAGATCAACACAATCACATTAAGCATGCACTGATGTTAAACTGCTAATTCAACTATTCACAGACTACACAGAGCGCCACATACCCGACAAACTTGTTCATGTACCAGCGTTGCTCAGGGACCTGCCGGGGAATCTGATTGGTACGAACTGGATTGTCATATGGCAGTTTCCGGAAACCGAAATAGTAGCCCAGATACACGAGAGGCATAGAAATACCAAACCACATACACAACAGAGCCAGCATTGTAGTGAAAGGAACCTGAAATATGTGCAAATGAGAGATGGCCGTCAGTGTGCACAAACTGCATGCAAAAAGCTGAATAAGAGGAAGCTGCTTGATGGAGCATACAACTTGACTAGTTTCTGTCTGAAACAACTGGCTGCTTTTCTAATGAATAATAGACTCATGAATTATTGTTTGAAACGAGTGTTTAAATAAGTGTAATGATTCCTTTACAGAGTAAAACAGTGAAAACATCATTTAAAAGTTATTATTGCCACTGCTCAAAAGTTTAGGGTCAACCAGATTTATTTTTTATAAATGAATACTTTTATTTAGCAAGAATGCATTAAACTGATCAAAAGTGATCAAAAATAAAAAACATTTTCAACATTTTTGTTAAAAATATATTTTCCAATAAATGCTGTACTTTTCTCTTTAAAAATCCTGAAGTACACAGTTTTCACAAAAATATACATCAGCACTGATGTAAACATGCATCAGCAACTGTTTTCAACTTTGATAATACAAAAAAAAAGTCATCATATTAAAATGATTTATAAAAAATAATTTGACATTGAAGATTGGAATAATGATGCTGAACATTCAGCTTTGCCGTCACAATAATAAATTACATCTTAAAAAATATATTCAAATAGAAAAGTTATTTTAAACCGTAGCAATATTTCACAAATTACTTTTTTATTTTTGTATTTCTTTCAAAAACATTACTCATCCCAATCTTTTGAACAGTAGCATGTCTAAAAATGACCAAACTATTTTTTTAAAATAGTTTAACAACACTGAACCACTATTATGAAAAAAAATGCAAATAGCCTAATATAGCATTTCTGCATAAAAAGCTAATTGCATCAGTCTGAAGAGATACTTACAGCACCAGAAGAGTGTTCTCCCCAGATGAAACAGTTCAAAACAAAACCGATGCCAAAGACAACAGCTGGGTACAGAGTTGCCGTCTAGAATGACACACACCCACATAAATGTCAATATATTTCCTTATTCTTTCAGCCAGTAAATCTAATTTATTTTCATGCAACAAATGCATCAAGACTTTGTACTCACACAGAAAGCGCCTTTCTTCCATCTGTGGCCTTTAAGAGTGCGGTAAAGTCTTCCTGCAACGTATCCTCCGAACAAACTGCAGGACCAGACAAATGGACAGTTTGAATATGGCCACGTTTGAAAATGCAAAACCTGAAAGTACATGGTGTTTTTATTGTGTATTTACCCCATGAACATGAAGAGGAAGCAGGATGTTGTCATCAGAGCTCCTCGACTGGATGGAGACAACATCCCCAGCATAGCCACAACTATAAAACAGTTTCATCATATGTATGATTCATATATCAAAATTGTTCAATAAATGAGCGAGCAAGGGATATGTAGCATTGTATGAATGACAATCATTCCAATTATGTGGAAATCTTTTCTGCAGTTCTGAACGCACAGATTCCATACAGGTCTGGTCATTAGCTTCATATGCTACCTTAAAACAAAGAGATCAGCGTAACACTCACAGATAACAATGAGAATCATGCAGAAGAGCTGGATGCCAGATCCCAACAGGGAGCTAAGAATCATGGGATACTGAGGTGGGCGGAACACATCACCATGGACGTTCTTCCAACCAGATTCCTCCATTGTGTCTTCCTATTAGTGACAAAGAGAGAGAAAAAGCATCGAGATAACATGTAAGAGATATGAAACAAAGGCAAGCAACCAATCAGAATGCAGCATCTTACAATGTCATCTTCTCTGTTGTAGTTGGCAATGTCCTTCCTCAGCGTCCTTATGATGATCATACTCAGGATGCCTGCAGACATAGATTTGCTTAGAAGCCATGACACCAATGCGATTGAAAATAACTAAAAGGCAAGTGAGGATGAAGATGAAAATCAGCCTCACCTGACAGAAAGAACACCACGACTACAGAGTTGACGATTGAGAACCAGTGGATCTGCACGTCGCTCATGGTGAGGTACGTGTCCCAGCGAGACGCCCATTTCACTTCACTCTCCTGCAATGAAGAACAGAGTGGCTATTTATGAGACAAACAAGAGCATGTAAAGCAAAGGCAGCGACGTGTCTCACCTCCCAGTGCACAGAGTAGGTGAAGAGAATGCTGTTCTCTTTAGTCGGGTCGATCTCCTGAGGGACGGGGGCAACCGTTTCAGGTAATGTGCATGTGTTTCGCTCGTCTGCTTTTATATCTAGAACACATGAGTGAAGGAAGAACAAACAAAATGGTAATAAATAAAACAAACTGAAAATAGTATGCAGTGAGATTTTCAACATACTGTATAATATAAATACATATAAATAAATAAAATGGATTCAAATATAAGAAAACAATACAGCAAATGTCTGGGATTGTTGAGGTGTTATTTAAATGTTTAATGACTCTTAGGCTCACCAGTGCTGCATTTAAAAAAAAAAAAAACATTACAATTCTTGTGATGGCAAAGCTGATTTTTTTTTTTCTTTAGTGTCATATGATCCTTCAGAAATCGTTCTAATATTCCGATTTGCTGCTCAAGAAACATTTCCAATTAATGTTGAAAATAGTTGTGCTGCAACCATGATCACTGTATTTTCAGGATCCTTTGATGAATATAAGGTTCTGAATTTAGCTGAAATAGAAATCTTTTGTTACATTATAAATGTCTCTATCATCGCATTTTATCAATTTAGTGTCTATGCTGAATAAAAGTATTAATAAAAAAAACTAAAAAAAAAAAACTTACTGACCCCAAACTTTTGAATGGCAGTGTATGAATAAAAATAAACTCATCACAAATTATATATATGTATTATACACTATATATGCAAGCATTAGGGGTGCACCGATACCACTTTTTCCAGAACAATGCTTTATGGTACTTCATCTTTAATTTAATAGCACATTAGGGTTATTAAATCACAAGGTGTTTTCATGTAATAATGTAAGGAACCACTCGTTATACTATCGGGCATTTTAACGAGTACAGGAGCGCAGCATCGGTATCGGTGCATCCCTAATATGCATTATAACAGAAACAGAAATGACAACAGAAAATGTGTATACACTCACATTCATTTAAAATTGAAATTTTTTGTTGTCAGTCCCATCTATCAAGTTTTTTCATGCAATTTTACTTTGACATTTCTTTGCATTACTAGTGACTTACCTTCCAATTTTACACTCTTTGGCATCACCTCAAAACGTACAACTCTGTAATTGTGTTCGACATCCTCCTCCAGCTTTTCTTTGTGGTAGTACAGGATGAATGACAGATGGTTGTGCAAATAGAACTACAAAAGCAGAGCAAAACAGCATGCGTCAACCAATCATGCAAAAGTAGAAGTGACATCACCAAAAATCATTTGATTTTTTTATAGAGACTAAAAAAAGCCATCTGTTTCCATAAGTTCATTTGTACAATTTTCTGTTATGGAAATCAATGTCCATGAATAAATAATGGATGACAACCGGCTGAGTGAGAGGTAACACAAAACTAACTGATCACTGTCTACATCTCTAGATTGGCATAAAATGATGCTAAAGGAAAAAGATGCTCTTCAGGATTACCTTGTTGTTTTCAGTGAAGCCGAGCCTGTAGCCATGCTCAAACTGGATATCCTTCAGTGTGTCCTTCCTCTGTTCCTCATCCATTCCCTCCTCTTTGTTTGGGTAAAGCTCTAGCCGTGTGGCCACAGGAAGGTTATCTGCAATACTGTTCATATGCATAATATATTAATCCAAGCACTACTGACAGCCTCGAACTATACAGATATTGGCGATTTGCTTCTATAGTTGCATAAACTATATAAACTATTACGCATAATATAATATATATATACACCATTGAATAGTTTGGGGTCAGAAAGATTTTTAAGTTTTTGAAAAAGGTCTATTATGTTCATCAAGGCTGCATTTATTTGATAAAAAATACAGTATAAACTAATATTGTAAAATATTACAATTAAAATAACTGTTTTCTATGTTAATATTATTGAAATGTAGCCTAATTTTTTTTCCTGTGATGAAGAAGCCATTACTCCAGTCTTTAGTGTCACATGATCCTTCAGAAATCATTGAAATATGCTGATTTATTATCAGTGTTGAAATGGTTGCGTTGCTTAATATTTTTTGGGAACCGGTGATAACTTTTTATTTATCAAACAAAAAAGTAAAGAGTTTATAAAGTACAGCATTTATTCAAAATATAAATATTTTCTAACAATATAAGTCTTTACTATAACTTTATCCATTTAACACATCCTTGCCGATTAAAAGTATTAATTTATTTTAAAAAAAGAAAGAAAAAAATTTTACTGACCACAAACTTTTGAATAATAATGTATTTTGTAACACAAAATGAATTTTTTGAATAAACAGTTTTTTTTTTTTTTTTTCATTTATCAAAGAATCCTGAAAAAGTATCACAGGACCCCCCCATAAAAAAAAAATAAAATTAAGCAGCACAACTGTTATGATATTGATTATGAATCAGCATATTAGAATGATTTCTGAAGGATCATGTGACACAGGAGACTGGCGTAATGATGCTGAAAATTCAGCTTTGATCACAATAATAAATTATATTTTAAAGTATATTAAAATAGAAAACTGTTATTTTAAATTGCAAAAATATTTCACAAAATTACATTTTTTTCTGTATTTTTGATCAATTTAAATGCAGCCTTGATGAGCAGAAGAAACCTCTTTAAAAAACATTAAAAATCTTACTGATCCAAAACTTTTGAACTGCACTGCATATTTGTAAATTACATTGTTAATGTAAATCAGACTTGTCTAAACACATTTATTTCCACTTACATTAGAGCTTGCAGAAACAAGTTATGTTGTTGTGCATTTTAATTTTTACTTTTGACATGTTTAATTTATGATAAAATACTTTTCAGGAAAAAAAAGTAAGCACTTCGCATTGAGCTTCATTCATGAAACACGAGCAGAAAGAATGCATGTAAACTGATGCATCTCACTGAATGTGTAAGACTGGCTTTACAAAGAATTTAGCACATTGTTCTGCTCATGTTTCATGAATGAAGCCAAAGAGTGTCGTCAGTAGAGGAGGGACTCACAGGTGGACATAGTACTCTTCTTGGATACGCTCAGCTAGCAGCTTGCTCTCATCCACGCTGAGTTTGATGGGATCATCAGGCTTTTTACACAACACCTCACAATTCTTGTCCAGGTTCATGAGAACAGTGTACAGCGAGTTTACGATACGGTCTCCTCGCAACACCTCACCTGATCATATATCATTATTATCAAAATGAGAAGCATGTCAAGGCAACCTTCTCACTGCAAGCTTTTGTTTTAAATATATCTATGCTTAAATACTTCAGACGTGTGACTGCAGTTAAATGACACACAATCCTTACCGAGGTTCTCTGCCTTGTAGAAGATGTTATCAGGCTTGCAGAAGGGAAGTGAATAGTACTCATAGGGCAACTGGGTTCTAGAGCTTGTCAATTTTACAGCCTGGTAATTAAAAATAGGTCAATGTTAGAAACACCACAATACAAATCTAGAAACCTGTGGAGAAAGGATCTGTGGAATGAATGCTAAAAATGTGCCAAACACAGTGGCTTGTATCTAGATCAATAAAATTGGAAAGACATGTCTGTGGAAAACAGGTGGTCAACACACAAATAAACGGCCCTAGAACCTGCTGTGTGTAGAGCCGAAGTGTTTTTAGCATTTTTAAAGTGAAATGAATAACTAGGCCTGAGTAAAAATTCAAATCCCTCTTTTGTAACTCAAATCCTTAAAAAAAAAGTGTGAGGCCTCACCTTTATTTCAACTGGGCTGTTTTGGTGGAAATTCATGGGCGCAACCCCTGGTACATAAAAGGGTGTTACTAAAGGCAGCGTGGACACCAGTAACAGTGCCCACATCTCCTACAAAGACAATAAAAGACACACAAAGGCAAATTGAAATTTGACATTTCTTTAGTTACTCATCTAGAATCTTGCTACAGAAACAAAACAAAAAAACATTCTTCTTGTTGAACACTGAACAATGGCCAGCTGATGGTAATTTTACTTAACAGTAATGTTGAGCTCTGCTGACAGAGTGAATACCCTCTATTACACAACCAGGTGATAAATGATCCATAAACTATGCCAACAGGAAAAACGAGGTGAATGTGAAACAACCTTAATTACATATGAAGGAAAACAATATTAATACAGCTCAATAATATGTACCACCATCATCCAAATAAGCAGTTTGATGTTATTATCTCTATTTTACAATTACAGTCCTCGGAAGATGAAAATCTGTGTTTGTACAGTCCAGACCAGTGTGTGTGAGTGGTGTAGAGTGGAAACATAGAAGAGTTTGCCAGAAAGCCGTGGAATAATTGTATAACTGCAGATGCGGTGAGACGAAAGTAGTGACAGATCTTTTCTTCTGTATTATGGTTATGTCTGAGTGAAACAGATTACCAAAACAAAACAAAAAAAGATTCTGTGCATGGATTTTTAACTGGATTTTGAGATGTGGATGTCGCACTCTAACGTGAAGTCAAATGTAAAAAAGGGGCAGGTTTAAGAAGATTAAATAATTATACGAATAACGGTATAGGTCACAAGAGAAGTCTACAATTTGTACTAGATTTACATATTACACCGTTATGACATTTGATTAAATGTTAAGAGGTCAAACTAATTACAAAGTGAAACAAACATGGATGAGTCCTTCACATTAATATCTACAACATAGGCTGCATAAAGTGTGCATTTTAATTTCATTCCGATTTTAATCAATACCACACTTTCTTTTCAAAAAATAAAACCATTTAACTTACGTTACTCCTAAATCAATACATGATGGTCATTTATTTACTAGTTTCTCGATAAGTCGCGGTATAATAAGCAGAAAAATATGCAGTCAGCTTCGCATCGTGGTCCTGTCACCCAGTCGGGGTTATCTTGCCATAATTACCTATTACTTTATACAAAATGACATATTATATCCGAACTCTTCATATTAAACCGGAACTCCATTCAACTGTCAATGAACAATCACAAACACTGCCAACCCGCAGAAGCAACACGTATTAGTAATCTATGAAGGGAATTGATACAAGAACAACTGTGATTTGATCACTTTACCAGTATCATCATCTTTGCTTTGATTTCGAGAGGCAGTAAATGCTAAAGCAGCGCAAATGCAATACACTGAGTACAGATACAGACTCCATCATGTGATGCTGTTTACCATGAAACACAGTCGCTTTTGTTAAAGTAAAGAGAGCTGTCTGCTTCATATGGCTTGGGTTTTAGATTAGAACAGGATTTTAACTCGGTATCACTCTTAGCAAACACTCGATAATTAGCTGCCTGCTAAGTGTTTATGCTAGCCTGCTGTTTTTTTTAATCGGCATCCACTGTGTGGAAATAGCAAATCACATCAAATGGCACACTTACAGTGAGAAAGACTAAACAAATTGGTTTAAATTAGGTAATGTCTACCAGTGTGAAATCAAACCTTTACTGAAACAGACAAACAGGAGAGACTTCAGCGTCGATACTCACCATCGCCGCCGCCATCTTGACTACACGTGTCATTGCAGACGTCACAGGAAGGATGTCAATGCGTCATCGTGCTGCTGTCGTTTCACTCACAAAGATCACGAGGAAGTCGAGGCTTAACATTGACAAAAGAGGGTGGCAACAGCTGTGAAAGTTTCGTTAAACGAGGCCTTTAAATGAAATGTACCATTATAAAGTTTTGAAGATTTATGGATTAAATTTCCTTATTATTTTATATATAACTTGCTTTTTAAGTTTAATAATACACTGTGGTCTTTAATTCTTAATCGTTAGTAATATCAGCCTCCTGTAATAGCAATGAATGGATCATAGTCAAACTATTTCCTGCCACATGAATTCAAATTCTGATAAACATTAATAATGTGTCATTGAAAAGTTTCCAGTTGGATATCATAATGCGTAGGAAAACACACATTGCAGTAAAAGGCTAAACATATTTGCAGAAATGTATGTCTTTGTGAGTCAGCAACATATATGAATAAACATGATCATTACACTGAACTAATAATTACTAAATGATGGAAAAAAAGAAAAAAAAAAGA